CACAACTGAGCCAAAGCCACGAGTGGAGATCGGGCTCAGCGGCAGCTCACTGAGTGACGAAGAGGACTGCATTTTGCCGACCACTTCCGACTCGGTGGCTGACGAAGAGACCCGAGATCTTCTGGCAGGCCTATTTTTGGGCGGGGACGGGGAGGACGCGATCAATGATGGCGTGCCCTTTCGTCCAAAACTAGCCTAGTGCAGGCCAACCTCCACCACAGCGAAACTGCGTCGGCTCAATTACGCAAGTGGTTGGAGGTTCAAAGGACTGCCATAGCCTTAATCCAGGAGCCGTGGGTTGGGGCTGGTAAAATTAAAGGCCTAAACAACCTAAAAGGTAAGCTATTCTACAGCTCTGAACACGACAAGCCTAGAGCGTGTATCTACACTACTAAAGATATCTGTGCACAACCATTAACAGATTTCTGTTCTACAGACATGTATGCCGTGGCAATACAATACACACAGGAGAGAAGATTAGTCGTCGCCTCGGTCTACATGCCGGAGGAAGACACTCCTCCCCCCTCATGACCTCGGCAGGCTGGTGAACTTCTGGGAGAGGACCGGACTAGAGGTTGTGATCGGGACGGACTCCAACGCACATCACCCCCTTTGGGGAATGGAAAAACCAAATGAACGAGGTAAGGTTTTAGTTGAATATTTATTTAGTACTAACCTAACCATTTTAAACATAGGTTCTGAACCTACTTTCATAAACAAACGCTGTCGCACTATAATCGACCTCACACTTGCAACAGAAGGAGCAGCCAAACTAATTACGGGATGGCATGTGTCGAAAGAGGCCTCATGCTCAGACCATAGATGGATCTGCTTCGCACTACAGGTCGATATCCCCTCTACACCACCATGGAGAAATCCCCGCAAGACGGATAAAACAAAATACCTAAATAGGTTGACGTCTTCGCTCGCGGGTTCTGAGGGGATAAATACTATAGCAGATCAGTCGCTCCTAGAAGAACAGGTAGCAGCTGTTACTAAGGCCATGATAGATAGCTACCATGAATCATGTCCAGAAATCACCCCACCAAGGCATGCCGAGGTAAAGCAACAGTGGTGGGGTGAAGAACTCGATAGGAAACGTAAGAAGGTAAGAAAAGCCCTAAACAGGGCCATGAATACCTCAATGGACGAAGACTGGCTACTATATAAGAAAGCTAAGTCTGAATACAAAAAATTTATCAGGTATCGACGCTCGACTGGGTGGCGTAAATTCTGTGGCAACATAGAAACCTGCGAACAAGCAAATAGGATAAGGAATATTCTAGCTAAACAGAACACGTCGGGAATCCATGTCTCTAAAGAAACCCGACGGTAGCTACTAAACATCGCCGGATGAAGCCCAACGCATCTTAATTAAAACGCACTTCCCAGGTTGCTGCTTAACCCAGGAGGCAAACCGGCACGACGACATACTGACACCAACAGTAGAAGACTGGAACACAGAGAGTGGTAACGATGGAACAAAATCCATTGGGCCATTCACAGTTTCCTCCCCTTATAAGGTGGCAGGACCTGACGGCATATTCCCGGCACTCCTACAGTGGGGGGGTAAAGCCCTAATAGTCAGACTTGTTGCTATAATGAGAGCCTGTCTGGCTCTAAAATATGTTCCTAGGGGATGGAGGGAAGTGAAAATCACATTTATACCCAAACCAGGTAAGAGCGATTACACTGACCCTAAATCCTACAGGCCCATTAGCCTCACATCCTTTCTCCTAAAGACGATGGAGAGGATGTGTGAAAGGGAATTAAGGGGGTCGGCGCTAATGAACTTACCACTACACGACAAGCAACACGCCTACAGTCTAGGCAAATCAACAGAATCGGCACTTCATCAGGTAATTACAAAGATTGAAGAGGCCATCCAAAACAAAGAAATATGTCTAGGTTCCTTCATAGATATAGAAGGTGCTTTTGACGGAACAAACTTCTCCAGCATAAAAGGTGCACTCAGTAGACATAAAGTTGAATCGGCACTGATCGACTGGATAATTTGCATGCTCAGTACACGAATAATAAAGATTGCTGGTGAATCTCAACCAATCCTAATTAAGAAAGGTTGCCCGCAGGGTGGGGTCCCTCTCACCTCTCCTGTGGAATATGGTCATTAATGAACTCATCAGCAAATTAAATACTAATCACTTCTATACAGTAGGTTAATGCTGATGACCTGACTATACTGGTCTCGGGAAAGACAGCTAGCATAGTGTGCGACCTGACCCAAGCGGCTCTCCGTATAGTGGAGAGATGGTGCAGGGAATACGACTTAACTGTCAACCCAAATAAAACGGTTTTAGTAATGTTCACACAAAAACGAATGCTGAATAACTATCATCTTCCAAGTCTTTTCAGCACAAAACTCCAGCTATCCTCTGAGGTAAAATATTTAGGTCTTACCTTGGACAGCAAACTTAACTGGAATAAACACATAGAAAACAAAATCAACAAAGCTATTATAACTTTCTGGCAATGCAGAAACATGATTGGCAAAAGATGGGGACTGACGCCAAAAATCATACTGTGGCTTTACAAAACTGTAATTCGGCCCATGATCACATACGCGTTCTGGTATGGTGGACCAAGACCAATGAAGCCACCACAATTAAGAAGCTTCAGCGCTACCAGAGACTGGCATGTATGGCTGCCACAGGCTGCATAAGAACTACGCCAACAGCAGCCTTGGAAGCGATGCTGGAGCTAACTCCGTTTCATCTACATATACAACAAGAAGCGACTTTAGCTGCCATCAGACTCAAGACCCTAAATCTTTGGAGTAAGAATAGTGTCCCTCATTCAGGCATAATTGATAGAATTCACTCAGAAATTCCTATCCTACAAGCCAAATACGATAGGATTCCTAAACAATTTGTTTTCGATAAGAAATACAAGATACAATTAAATGAAAACAGCCAGCCGGAAGAATTAAGCCCAAAAGAGCTTAGAATTTTCACCGATGGTTCTAAAACAAATGAAGGTGTAGGTTCTGGAGCTTTCTCTGAAGACCTCAATATTCACATATGCACACCGCTGGGTACCTATAACACGGTCTTTCAGGCGGAATGTATGGGTATCATTCAAGCGGCCATAGCAATAGATGCTAGGAAGGTTAATGACTTCCCCATCAGAATACTGACCAACAGTAGGGCGGTACTACAAGCTCTGAGTTGCAATGGGGTGAACTCGGGACTAATATATGAATGCCATCAACGATTAAATGAGGTATGTAAAAACAACAATGTGACTCTGCAATGGATAAAGGGACACAGTGGATCCAGAGGCAAAGATGAAGCGGACGAAATGGCAAGAAGAGGATCGGCTCTGGCCACTATAGGGCCGGAACCAATCATACCAATCCCCTTTGGTAATGTTCGTTCAATGGTATGTAGACACTTCACTAATCAACACGCTCAGCTTTGGAAAAATCTAGTAGACTGTAGACAAGCTAGGGAGGCCCTACCTGTAATAAACAGTCGCTTAACCAAAGTTCTAATGAGACTGAACAAGCCAAAGATCAGGATAGTAACAAGTGCTATCACAGGACACGGCACCTTTAACAAACATTTATTTATTATAGGTGTTACAGATAGTCCCCTGTGCAGGGCATGTATGGGGGAGGAAGAAACGGCGGCCCACGTGCTACTGAAATGTCCGGAGGTCGCTACGTACAGGGCTAAACATCTCGGCACGCCGGGATCACTCCCCGAAGTTGCATGCAACATCAAGGGACTGTTGAGCTTCTTCGGGGAGATCTCATGGCTCGAATAATCACATTATTCCTGCCCACACGCAAAATACGCGCATAGACGTGGAGTTGCGGAAAACAGCCCGTCGCAAACTAAACTAAACTAAACTAGCCAATGCAGTCAAATTCATAATATTTTTTACATATCAAATATAGCAGTGAATTTTTAGCTTCAATAGTTTTTTTACATTTATTACAACTTACAAGCGATGACATCTTACGGCTGCTATTTTTTGAAAGACTTTGGTTAGGCATCATAGAAATTTAACGTTATTAACAAAATAAGATTTTTGATAGATGTCGCAGTTCTTTATGATTCTATATATTCTTTCATGTCGTTTATAATCTGTCTCCTTTAAAACTGAATCTGTCTTACAACTAAATCTGTCTTATTATTTGTTGAAAATGTAAAAAAAGATACGCTTTGTTTGTCCGACTTGATTTGAACCGTCTACTCTTCAGGAATCGAGTGAGATACCGAACGGCGAAACCACTACGCCATCACTACATTAAGCTATATCGGCGAATTTGAGTAATATACTGTGTATATTGTCAAACTCTCACTGTTTGTAATTAGACCTGTAGTTTTGTCGTCGGATACTTTTTCGATTCAGCGTCAGTATTAAAAATCAAAGTTTTTCTTTAATATTAATACACAATTTATTTAGAGTTTTTTTAAGTAAACTTACGTAGTTTCGGTTGAAGGTGCTTGATTTTTGCTCATATATCACGATAAACTTATTTTATTGTTAAGAACTATGGTATTTTAGCCATTATTAATATGACTGTTGTGTATACTCAGTATGTTTATTAACAATTTATATATTCACTGGTTGTTTGAAACAGTTTAATTTCACTTACACATGGAGATTAGAGTTCACTGTCACTATTGAAAATATTTTAGCACTTGTAAAATTAATTTGTCATAGATCAGTTTATAAGATTGTAAAATGCAAAGCGTAAACTTACTACCAAGCTAGGGTTGCCAGGTCTTTAAACCGAAAAGCCGGACAGACCATCCAGCTTAGCCGGACATTTTGATAAAAAGGCCGGACACCCTTAATCATTCAGTCTTAGTATAACATTATTTTTAAAGTAAAACAATGCTTATATCATTTACCATAAAATCTTAAATTAAAATTGAAGGAATCAGTGTTCTTTATTATTAATCATTCAATATTTATTACGATATTTATTTTATTATTTATGAAATATACGATATACAAATAATTCTTACCCAAACTGTCGGGGATATCTCTAACTTGGGGCATTCTTTGAACACCCGGAGGCCTCTCCGCTGTGAACCGTTCCCGTGGACCTCCGAGATCACCATCTAAAATACAAAATTTAATCATCGTTACAGTCTATCAAAAGTCCATCTCTGAACATAAGCTTCCCTCCATAGGGTAGATTTTTGCCATAGTTGCCACGCTTGTCAAGCGGGTTGGTAACCAGTTTATTTTCATTAAAAAGTTGCTGCTGCCTACCCCCTGGTTTTTATTTCTCTGTGTGGCCTCTTAAAACACCCACAGTATGATACTATGAGAAGTGCATATTCTTATACTGCCACATTGTTAAAACTTGATGAATATTCATCATTACAGTCAATTACGAGTTCTCTGTTAAACATATCCCAGAAGGAATGCCACAAAGCACATCCCCAATTAGTGACATCGCTTTTGGCTTTCGGATTGATCATGTATAATAATTATTATAACATATCAATTATAAATACAATCGACTCTCGTTAATTCAAACTTGCGATAATTCGAACCTCTCTATAATTTTAAGTAACAAAGTTATTCAAATATCTCTATAATTCAAAGTTCTCTATAATACAAGTTCCGTACAAAATCTCTTTATATTTTGAACTAAATCAATACATTTTTAATGCACTTGGCAATACGAACGAAAAAATCATTGCTACGTAACAAAACAACGCGTTATTTCGAACACATCGGCGTTAAACACTCTACAATTTAAAGTTCAAAAGCAGAAAGACATTCTATTGCAAAGAAATTGTTAAGCTTGTTTTAGTTAACTGCGAATATTACGGTTCTGACAGCCGTTTTACTGATTGACAAGGCATGGAGAGCTGTACCACCCCTAACGATTCTCAACTGATTCAAAAACTAGTTTACATCAGCGGTGTGAGTTTTTCTGACTTTGTTCAAGTGGATGAAGATGTTGCTGTCTCAGGTTCACTAACCGATGGCGAAATTTTATCTGCAACAGATATGAATGAAAAAAGCATCGACGAAGATGAGGACAACACATCAGAACTTTTAACAGTGGTGTCAATTAAGGAAACAAGAGCAGTGATATTACAAAGCTTCTTTCTACAAAACGAAAGTGCTAAGAAAGGAATGTTTTCTCTTAAAAATGTTATTGAGCAGTTTGAGCAACAGCAATGTGCTTTGAAGCAAGCCAGCATAACAGAGTTCTTTCGAAAGATTAACTAATTCACATGTACACGAATGTACCCCTAAACTTTTGTCATTGTTAAAGAATAGCAGTTAACACATAACAATTGATGTGTTGATCAATTATTAATTATTAATAATTCGAAGTTTTATTTATTTTCTTTAAAAAATTTCGAACCATTTGATATTTCAAACACTCGATAAGTTCCTCGAGTTTCGAATTAACGAGAGTCGGCTGTAGCAACAAATGTCTAAGAGGACATCAACTTAAACTTTGTCATAGGGCTGGCAAGCTGAATCCTATGAAGAATTTTATTACAAATCGTGTTGTCACCAACTGGAATAAGCTACTAATGATTAATTGCTTCACAGATGGTTCTCCAATTGACGCACACGCATCAGCTTTTTTGCTGTTAGTGAGTTTGTGTACAAATAATAAAAGAATGAAGATAATCAATTACTTACTGGCAAGAGGTGCAGTTACTTCCGAAGGGACAATCTGCGGTGATTCAGCTGGGGCAGCAGGCTGAAAAAATTGTGCAATTATAATACCTAGAATACTATCAATACATATACACACACAAACACACACACACATATATATACCATAAAGTAATTAATATTAAATATATATGTAACATAATTAACGCACACCCTCTGACACCTCAATTAGTATATTATGTTATAATCATAATACATACACGGAATTTTTAGTTAAACATTTTTATGCACAGATTATCAAATTAGTTATACTAATTCTGGAAGAATGTTGTGGTACAAATCCACGAACACAAAGACTTTAACGTGCTTGAAATAAAGTTCATTTTTCTTTATTTTTATTGAATAACAGAATTAGTAATAATACAAATAAAACTGCACTCTTAAAAGTCTTATTGCCTTAAGTTACGGTTCATTTCAGTTTTGACTGTACAGATTTAGTGCGACTGTAATTTACGTAGTGTTAATTATTTTTCGGATAAAAAATTACCTATATTAAAAATTATAGGAATAGATTCAGTAAATGATTCTGAACAAACTAGAACATGGGCAGCAATATCTGTCTAATAACAACTGAAAAACTCAAAATTGAGAGACTCCCAAGGGTGGCTACTATAACACATATCCCCCCACAAGGTATACCAGGTGGGAGACCTATGTTTAGCATTAAACATAGATAAGCTGTACCAGTACTAGCAACAGTAAATCTATAGATTTTTTTAAATAATCATAGTATGGTAAAGGGAAGTGACAATTGTATTTATACTTTGACCAAGCAGCCAACTAAATACTGGTTTGATACTTTGACAGATTAACCCCAAGTTTGACTGATCTATTTTAACTTACATGTCAATTGAGAATTTGTTTTACTTGCACATCTCTATTATATTGTTCTAAATAGTTTTTTTTTATATTGTTAATGTTAACTATTTATATAGTTTTCATTAGCTTATAACCCCTTGTTGGTTGGCCGGCCATTTGCAAATAATGCGCATCTGCTAAGGCATTAGCTGATAATTTCCGCGCTATCGACGTGTGGCGATTAAATTAATTTTAATTTTTCTAAAATATTGTATGGGCGTCCCAAGCGTCACACAAAAAATAGCATATATTGTCACTTTTATTTTGAGAAAGGAGCGAGTCAAGTGGCATGCGATAATTTTAATGTTAAGTATGGTTCAAGTTCTTAACTTAGACAAAATTTCATTTCTAAAAAGTATGTAATGTATTTTTAATCAACAATAGAGATAAATGTAAGGTAATTAAGTATAACGGCCGTTTATGTATACTTAATTTTTTTTAATATAAAGGATATATATCTTATTATTATATATATTATAGTAATTTTTTATTATTATTATATTATAGTTATTAACCCTTCCATGTTAAAATAGCACCAAACTTCACTATTTGTTTGATTTACGAATAAAAAAAGGACAAAAACCGGGTCGGGCGAACACATAAAAGCGACATTCACGTACGACTACCACACAGGCCGTTTATTCGAAATTTCTAATCTCGAATCATAGCTATCATTGTTGCCTGTTATTTTACCCCCCAAATACCCAGGTGAGGATAGGTCAGAAACTGGTCGCTTGCCAGATGTGCGTAATAAACAATCGGCCAGATTCTGGCCAGTCGCCATACAAAGGGTTAATGTTAACTATTTATATTGCTTTTATTAGTTTGTAAGTAGTAGTAGTATTATTAGTGTACGATTTAGTTAATAATGAAAAAGAGGACACTATCGCATTCTCCAGGATATTTATTACCCCAACTTCACTTGGGTAAGATCTATTAATGTGGTGTAAAAAAAAAGTTATGTTATCAATGTTTAAAACATTTATTTATTTATTTATTTATTTATTTATTTATTTTCAATCACAACTTACAACTATCATTACAGGTTACTACCTAATTCGATAGTGAAGCACACATCAGTAAACATATATATACTTATAACAAATACCTACTTATAACAAATAACATATAATGCTATCCTTGTGAACTCATTCGGCGTACAAATAAAAATATCTGTCTCCTCTGCTACAAGGTTGAGAGTGCGAAGTGCCCGTGTCAGCGGCGCCTCGTTCAATAAATTAGTGCGACCACGAGGTACGGCCAGCAGGTGAGGCCGACGTCGTCGCCACACATATCTGTCCGGCACACACAAACACAGTAAACATAATATATCTGCGTGATGTACCTTACCCCTAATTAACTTAAATAAATATGACACAAGCGTGAGCTCCCGCCTGACTCGTAGTTCGTTGTATCCCACCATGCCCAACACAAACAAAGTTGGATACATAATAGGATAAAAAGGATACACTCCATATAGCCTAAAATATAAAAACCTAGTAAATTTGTTTTGTATCCGCTCCAACATGAGACTATATTTAGTCTCATGCGGAGCCCAGATGACTGCGTTGCATTCCAATTGGCTTCTCACTAAAGCGTTGTATAAGGCGATAATGGCTGCTACATTTGTGAAAGTACGAACAGTTCGTAAAAGGAACCCTAAATTTCTGTAAGCCTTTTTACAGCACTTAGTAATGTGATCACGAAACGTTAGCCCCGCGTTGAGAGTAACTCCTAAATCCTTAACTTCTGTGACCCGGACCATTGGCATTCCATCAATGTTGTAACTATGTACAATAGGCCTATGTGCACGTGAAAACGTGATTGTAGCACATTTTTTGATGTTGAACTGTAAAAGATTCTCCTTGCTCCAATTAGCTACACTATTAATGGCATTCTGTAACCGTCCACAGTCACTTTCTTCCTTCACAGTCAGAGATAACTTAAGGTCATCTGCAAACATTAAACAATTTGCCTCTTTAACGACTTTGGGCAAATCGTTCATCATGATTATAAATTGCAGAGGACCGAGATTACTTCCCTGACTTACACCAGACCACGTAAAATACGGCTCCGATCTGTGTCCCGCGTATTCTACGTACTGCTGCCTATCCCTCATATAACTGGCAAAAAAATTAAGTAGATGTGGTGTGAAACCAACAGCTGCTAACTTCTTGAGCAACACGTCATTATCGACTAGGTCAAATGCTTTTTTGTAGTCGAAGTAAGCAGCGTCAGTCTGCCCTCCACTATCCACTGTCGGCAGCAAGTGAGCCATGTAACTGAGCAAGTTGCTGGTAGTGCTCCTCATTGGTCGAAACCCGTGTTGGGCATCTGAAAGTTGTGCTTTCACCTGCATAAAAAGGCTGTTATGAATAGCACACTCTAACACTTTAGCCGGTGACGACAGTACCGCAATGGGTCTGTACCCACTAACATTGTCGTTGCCTATTCCTCCTTTCGGTATCGGTACGACACGAGTAGTTTTCCATCTCTTGGGAAACACAGCCGCGCTCAGACATCTATTGAAGATATGGAGTAACGGCTCAGCCAGCACAGATCCACAGTCTTTGAGAATGTACGCCGGAATGCCATCCGGACCTGCGGACCTCTTCGGCTTAAGATGTTTAAGCGCACTCCGCACATCCCCCAACTGTAAGTTATCTAGATGAACCCGCGCTACACCATTCTCATCGCCCGCTCCTTCTATCGCAGTATTAACGTTCAACTCGGGTCGTATCGTACTATACACCGAGTGAAAGTACTGGGCGAACTCTTTCACACATTGTTCATCAGACAACACTGCCCCGTTCTTTAATATCTTTTGTGTATTTCGACTACCTTTTCTGGAGTTCACGTAATTCCAGAAGGATTGTGGATCTTTTTGTAGCTGACTTTGAACCCTGCTAGTATGTTGCTCTTGTGCTAGTTTTATTAATCGTTTTACTTTACTCCTACACAGGGCAACGCTTCGTAATCATTCTTGGTCCTACTTGCCTTATACAGCTTGTGGAGAATAGCCTTACGTCGTATGTTGCGAATTATTTCAATAGTGTAAAACTCGGGGTAAACATACTTCGAGCTTACCCGACATCGCTGTTTTCTGGGAACACAGTCATCTATTTTGGAATTGACTGTTTCATAAAAGTAATCTAAACTCATTTCTAAATCAAGGTTATAAATATCAGTCCAGTCTATAGTTCCTATTGACGCGTACATTGAAGCGAAATCAGCTTTATTGAAATTCCAACCTGGGGAAACAGTACTCGATTCGCACTGGAATGAACCTGCGACTCGGCGCGGCCACAGTTTCACCAACACATCCAGTGGCGGGTGGTATGCATCCACAGGTACGAGAGGCGCCCCTGCCTCGCGCACATTCACACTCTCTCCCTTTGTAAGCGTACTTAACACTAAATCTAAACACCGATCATTACAATTAACAATCGTGTTACACTGAGTAAATCTACAGTAAGATAAAAAATATTGAAAATAATTACATACGTTTATAGAACAGGAATGCATATTGAAGTCACCAATCACAACGATATCACTATATTTACTACACAGTTGTTCTATTATTCTAAACAGTATCATATAATCATTCTCACAACTGTTCGGCGGAATGTAAACAACGCACAATAGAAATAAAAGTCTGTTATGCAGGTAGACGGTCGCACTGATCAGTTCAAACACTTCGTCATCGATGTTGACGTCACTCGGACTCGCCACTCGCCGCAGCTCTAAACGCGGTGTGGCCACGAGACACGCGCCTCCTTGCTTTCTTCCATCCGCGCGGTCGCAGCGAATTATTGTGTATCCCGGCGGAACAAGTTCTGCGTCGTGAATGGATTTGTTACAACCTGTCTCAGTAATGGCAAATAGATCTGCTCCTGAAGATGAGACGCCTACATAAAAGTCCTCTAATTTCGTACGTAAACCTCTCACGTTTTGGTAGTAAATTTCAATAGCTGTGCTATTTATTGAGTGTTTTTTTGGTTGTTCTACGAAACCATACCCATTCACTGAATTCGATGTTTACAGCCCAATTGTCCGATTGATATAAAATGTCATAACTGCTTTCAGGTACACCAATAATAAAGGAAGAATAATCCCTTTCCGTCTTATGCCTGATTCTTTCCACTGTGACTGGTACTTCCTCTCCGCATATATTCTTCACGTATTTTTCTAAGTTTTCAACCGTGGTTTCTTTATGGAGACGCCACACATGTAAAAATTTCTTCCGTTCAGTCCCCTTGATTTCTACTGCACTCGTGCTTCCGCCTTTTTTTACCTCAGTATTAGGGTATCTGCTTTTCTTCTTTTTATTTACTATTATCCAGTTTCCTTCCTTTTGAGATTCTATATCCTCAGTTTCGGTTATTTGCTCAGAATTATTTCTTACTTGCTTTGGTTCGGGTATCTCCTTCACAATTGAGCTAATTACGGAAGTCGATTTGTCTGATGGTTTCGTGGCCACACTCGCTTGCTTCGTTGGGAACTTATTTTTAAGTACCCGGTTTTGGTTTCGGTTCGCTGCCGCTGCAAATGATTGAGGAGTTCCTTTTTGTAAATAAGCTTCCTCATTTTTATCAGTTGTTGGACTTACCCTAATCATATTGCTCACTAATTTTTCATCATTTCTTACTATACTATCTACTTTCGCTTCCAATATTTGTACTTTATCTACTTTTTCTTGAAGTACCTTCATTTCTTTTCTTAATTCTTTTAATTCTGTCTCAGTATTTATAAATCTATTTCTTAGTATCTCATATTCCTTAAGCTGATTTTCCATGAGAGCTTTCATTTCTAAGCGAAGCTCCCCAATCGCTTCCATAATCCTGTCTTCTTTAACAACCTTGTATGAGACATTTGGGTTTCGGCTACCGCGCTCGGTGTTGACGTAATCCGTGGATGTTGCTGTTTTATCCATTATCCCGTAGCTTAGAATCGGTGTTTCCCAACTATCCCTCTAGGTTTATACTCATTCAGGGTGACTTCCCTGATTTGTATTTCCAACTTATTTCGCCCGTCCAATAAAACACGTCCGTTCGCGTTGCGTTCGCGTAAAATATCAACATCAACAGTTTTTAGATTAAATATAGCCCAGATCACTCCTGGTATTCTCTATCTGTTTATGAAGTTTTATTGCAATCAGTTCAGCGATTCTAGATTAGCCCGGACAAAAATTTTAAAAATAAATTCATTGTCTTAATGGGTATAGATTATAAAAAATGATCTCTTCTGATCAATATAGGGCAGGTATTACGACATGACAGACGGACAATTCAACTTTATTTATTATGCTATGTTATAAGATTAAGACAAACTTACAATAGCTGGTGGTACAACAGCATGCTCTGCCTCATACACTGGTGGCTCAGGGTATGGTGCATATGTGGAATGCTCTGGTAATGGTGCATTTGGTACTTCAACTGTTATATTGGGTACAACACATTCACTTTCTGCCACCACTTGATAAGATACAGACTGCTGAAAAAAAGTTGTTATAAGCTTATTCTGCATAGATTGGACCAACAGTAATAATTAAAAAGCGAAAGGTTAATGACATCAAAAACTGTATCACCTCAGTGGCAGTGGGCCAGCCATATAGTTCGAAGAACCGATAACCAATAGAGAAGCAAGCTTCTAGAGTGGCAGCCTCATACCAATAGAAGTATGGAGCGACCCTACACTAGATGGAGTGACAACCCGATAAGACATACAGGAAGTCGACGGATGCAGGTAGCTCAGGACTGTGCTTTTTGGCATTCTTTGGGGAAGGCATATATTCAGCAGTGGACTTGTAAGGGGCCGTTATGATGATGAAGATGATGATAGGTGCTTTAGTGAAATTGACCTTTAACTTAACTATCACTCGATTTGAATATTTTACTAAAAAGGGCTACATATTGTTCCAGTAGTTCTTTTTCATGGCATTGCATTATCACACCAGTTGTTTGAACAAAGAAACTTAATAGCAAGACTTACTTGGGTGTATTCGACGTTATGATTTGGATATTCGATAGCAGCAGTATCACCTCCTCCGTCGCGATAGTTAGAAGCACCGGACGTGGGGACATTTTGTGACGCACTATTGTCATAATCATCTGCCAAAAGCTGTTCCTCTTCTTCATTGCCCAAGTTATAGTCCGCGAGACTTTGATCACCAAGATCGTCGCCTAATAAGTCCTCACTGAACAGAAAAGAAATAAATTCTTAATTACCAATCACAATCATGGAGATTCTGTAGCGAGCACACTATGTATTAATGAATTAATCTTCTCGCACGGAGGTAGCTGAAATAATTACGATGTGAAATATAGCTAATATCAACACAAAGTTATAGAAATTATTAATAAAAAAGCATGTGCAGTGATTTAAAACAAACATTTGAATAAAAATACACAAAACACTAACTTGTCCGACATGTTGACAAAAATTTCTCATATGGAGCCATAGATAATAGACATGGATAATGTTATGATCAGTCAAATAATGTAGACAAAGGTCTTAGACAATACAGTCACATCTGATGTATTTTGTTAACTCATTCTATGCCTGCAACACACCCATGTGCGTTAATTATTTTTTTATTTGTATGCCTGCAACGCACCCGAATGCGTTTAGTATAGGATTTATGTAAGTTACTTTTTTTCGTAGTGCGTGCTGTATCTAATTATATTTCTCACCGTGAGTTTGCACTGACGCGATTTTCACAAAAAACATGTTTTAAACACTGTTCTGTCAATGTATCAAAAATCGTTTGCATAGTCAAACATGTAGTGAAATATGTTTGACAGTTTATTGTACATTACAATAAACTGTTATGTCGTCTACATATCGATAATAGTATAAGATATTTTGGTTGACAACTATATGTTGTTTTTCCAAATTATCTATGAAAATGTATGCCTTAAGTGGACTTAGAGGGAATAGCATAGCTATAGCTAGCCCATAGCTAGCCCTTCTTTTTGTAGATAGAAACGGTTATTTAACTGGAAATAATTTTGTTTCATACAGAGAGAGGTTAAGTTAAGGAGATCATTTGTTTCCCCGGGATGTAGACGACGTTTATCAAAGAGATCTGAGAGTATACGCAAGCAGTCAGGGGATGGGACATTTGTGAAAAGATTATCAATGTCTAAAGATAGCAACATAGATTTAGGTAGAATACGAATATCTTTAATTTTGGAAATGAGATCTAAACTGTTTTTAAGGCTCTAAATTGGGTTGAAACCAGATTTCTCCCGAAGGAGGAATTTTAATTTTTTAGCAAGGAAATAAGCTGGTGCACCTATATATGAGACACCTGGACGAATAGGAACATGTTCTTTATGTAATTTAGGTAACCCATATAAAGTGGGTGCTTGAGGATTCATTGGAACAAGAATACTCCGAGACAAGTTGTCATCGGGAAAAACATGTGACGACTTTTGTATACCTACTTTAATATCCGAAGTAAACCTTTTGTATCTGTTGTTTTCAACAGATATTCAAACTTTTAGATAAGTTTGAATATCTGTTGAAAATTTTACAGTTTTTGTGAGTGCAAACGGCACCATCAACATAACATGTTATGTGATTTGTTTTATGCGATTTGTTTCAAAACATAACGTGTTGGATGTTTCTCAGTGAAAACCTACTGTCATACAACATGCATACAACTTTGGGTATTCAACCAACTCAAGGTTATATACAGAAACACTTTGATAGTACGAAGCTACGAAGAGAAATCTCGCTTTTAAACTGACGCGTGGCACCGGTTTTTGCGGGAGATGCGTAGTATCTAGTCTTGTGCCTGCTCGGTCATTTTAAAGATCGCTCCGTACCAGTTCATTTCTGACAGTGAACCAGTTTGTTGTATTAGTTCTATCGTGAATAGTTCGGTGGCAACCAAACCTCCACCGGAGATTTTTAGCACCCCCGGCCCCGATGTTACCATGACCGCTACCGCATCCAGGAATAGCGGGGCCGCCGGGGTCTGAGGGCAGTTATTAGTGTTGTTGCTCATGGGGGGTATGATGCTATAGTTGCCACGCTTGGCGATCGGGTTAGTAACCATAGTTTTTTGTTCTACAATTGCTTTTATCAGAAAGATGCTGTTGCTCATCTCCTATCTGTTTCTCTCAGTCGCCTTTTACGACAGTGAAGATATCCTTTCAGCTGCGGAAACTCTTACCGTCATTCTCCGTTGACTACGGAGCTGTTTAATAAAATTGACGACTCATTGGGCGCAATCCGTTTAAACGCAAATTTCTTTATTTTGGTATATCAAATACTATAATATGTATACATTTCTGAATTCTCTATGAAATTTCCAATAAACGAGTACATAAATTTAATAAAGTCCCAAAGTAATTAGTGTAAGTAAATATTAATTAAAATCGAAATTGTCATATTTCTCGATGAAACAGAGTTTTTTAATAGTTCAATTTTGTTTTATTTTAATCTTAAATCTATTGTTTACAATATTTTATGTGCAAAGTCATAGGCTACAATACAATTTTTTATCATAAAACGCATTTTGAATAAAACTATTATTTACGGATTTTATCGCGTTTAATTACTTTAATTTATTTTTATTGTTATCCCGACGTTTCGGGTGCTTTACAGCGCCCATGGTCACGGGGGGGACTGAGATGTTTGACGTCCCAATGTCATAGTTAGTCCGGCTACCTTCAGTTTTTTAATATTAATTTTTAGTCCGATTTACGCAAAACGAGCTTATAGTATCATGAAGTCTTGCAGTGGTATGCTTGGGTTTGGGTTTAATTTTGTTAATTATAGGATCCCAAGCAGATGGTAGCACCCAACCATCTTCTCTATTGAAATTTGGATGTTTTTTAATTTCAATAGCTTCGCGTATCATCCTTGGTAGGAATCGGTGTTCTTTTGCGAGAATTTGTGGTTTATCAAATCTAATGTAATGGTGGGGACGATCTTGAACATGTTCGCAGACTGCAGACTTCCCGGAGCGTCGGTGCTTCACATCACCAAAAATTAATATTAAAAAACTGAAGGTAGCCGGACTAACTATGACATTGGGACGTCAAACATCTCAGTCCCCCCCCGTGACCATGGGCGCTGTAAAGCACCCGAAACGTCGGGATAATAATAAAAATAAATTAAAGTAATTAAACGCGATAAAATCCGTAAATAATAGTTTTATTCAATGTGTAGTGTTCGCGTAAATTTAAGAAATCATTATAAAACGCATTAATAATAAGCTTACAAGAACCCACAATCAACTTGGAACGATTTAGAATGTAGTTCGAACCAGACGCGGCATTAATGCATTAGTTAATAAAAATAGTTTTTTTATTTCTTCAATAATATATACTTAAATTAGTGAAGAAACATGTGGTCTTTTTCCAAGACTAGTTGAAACTCTCTTTTTCCTTACATGATTCAGTAATCTTTAAATAGATCTTGCTAAGTTTACCGTGTAGTGGCGGTTGAGAATATCCACTACCCCATATCTTCCCGTGGGTGTCGTAAGAGGCGACAGAGGGAGACAGGCAGGAGATGGGCAGCAGCATCTTCCTGATAACAACGATAACAATAAAAAACTGCGGTTGCCAACCCGCTCGCCAAGCGTGGCAACTATGGCAAATATCCCCCGATGAGCAACGACGCAAATAAACGGCCCCCAGTCCCCGGCGGCCCCGCTATTCCTGGCTACGGTGGCGACTATGGTAACGGCGGGGCAGGGGGTGCTAAGAATCTCCGGTGGAGGTTCGATTGCCACCTACGACGACTCGATCTGGCAACTTATAACGCACGCACCCTGAGGACTGACGAGAAGATACTGGAGCTGGAAGAAGAGGTAGACAAGTTGCGCTGGCATATTATTGGATTATCTGAGGTCCGAAGAGAGGAGGAGGAGACGGTAATCCTCGAGTCCGGCAACTTGTTCTATCACCGGGAGGGCGACAATCTGTCCCAAGGAGGTGTCGGATTTATCGTCCACAAGTCTCTCGTCAACAACGTTGTAAAGATTGGGAGTGTGTCGACGAGGGTCGCGTACCTGATACTCAGAATCACCAAACTGTATTCGCTGAAGGTCATACAGGTCTACGCACCATCCTCGGCACATCCCGATGAGGAGATGGAGGAAATGTATGAGGATATTTCCAGCGCCATGCGTTCCTCCAAAACACACACGGTCTTGATGGGAGACTTCAACGCAAAACTAGGCACAAGAGAAGGCGGTGAGCTGAAGTTAGGGAAATTTGCAGTAGGGCAACGGAACCGTAGGGGCCAGCAGCTGGCTGACTTTATGGAGAAAGAGGGACTCTTTATGATGAACTCTTTCTTCCAGAAGCGGCCCCACAGGAAGTGGACCCGGTCGAGCCCCGACGGTTCGACAAAAAATTAGATTGACTTCATTATGACGACCAGACGCCAACTGTTCAGTGATATCGCAGTGATCGCAAGGGTTAAAACCGGCAGCGATCACCGAATGGTTAGAGGCACACTGAACCTAAACGTTAAGTTGGAGAGGTCTCGTCTAATGAAGTCAACGCTCCGTCCCCCTCGTGCTCTAATCAAGAATCCCGAGTCTTTTCAGCTCGAGTTACGTAATCGCTTTCAGTGCCTAGAAGATTGCAATGCAGTGGACGATATGAATGACAAGCTCGTGGAAACTGTCCAAGCGGTCGGAGCTAAGTTCTGCAAGACCCGCCGCAGAATAATACAAAAACTCTCCGATCACACTTTTAAACTCATGGCTGTTAGACGGGAGATGAGGCTGTAATCGTCAACAGATTTGACAGCATACAGGCAACTGAACAGACAGATCTCCAAATGCATGCGGCGAGACTTACGCAACTTTAATACTGCTCGTATTAAAGAAGGGATCGAGCGTAACCAGGGCTCCAAAGTCTTTGCCAGAGATCTGCCTGCCAGAAAGAGCTAACTGTCAAAGCTGAAGACTGAGTGTGGCAGCATCGTTTCCGAGACACCTGAGATTTTGAGTGAGATTGAGAGGTTCTATGGGCAGCTGTACACATCATCGTTGGACCCATACGCAAGTGTGAGTAACGATCCAAGAGCAAGTCTTACCCGGCACTATTCCGATGATATCCCGGACGTCAGTCTGAGCGAGATTAGAATGGCTCTCCAGCACCTTAAAAACGGCAGGGCCTCGGGCGAGGATGGAATTACAGCGGAGCTTCTGAAAGCGGGTGGAACACCGATACTTGAAGTCCTTCAGAAGCTCTTCAATTCCGTCCTCCATGGTGGCACTACTCCGGAGGCGTGGAGCAGAAGTGCGGTGGTCTTGTTCTTTAAGAAAGACGACAACGCTCTCTTGAAGAACTACAGACCGATTTCCCTTCTGAGCCGCGTCTACGTGCTGTTGTCGAGAGTCATTACGAATCGTCTCGCCGCAGACTCGACGACTTCCAGCCTCCCGAACAAGCCGGTT